CTTCTCTGTGAGATTATTACCTATTTACTCAGTATATATCTTGTATGTATGTAGATTCTGCACATTCTCTCTCTAATTATAATATGAGTTCCAAGAGTTTACAGACTGTGTTGATGCCTTTCTTTATATCTCACTGGCACAAAGTAAGCATTTAACAAATGCTTATTGCCTGACTACTTAGTTCTCATTTGTCACTTCTCTATGTCATGATTTCTGAAGTAATAACCATCCTCAGTAACCTTTCCACATCTATTTGCTGATGCTTCTACTGCCATTGGCCACTATTACTTTGATGACCACTGTGATGGTGTTTGATCACAATTAGGATCTCTGTCTCTTCTGAACTCACACTGTTGTTAACTGGGCACATTCCTCCTGAGATTGTTGATTGCTTATTCAAGGAAGGAAACACAAAAGAGAGATGAATCTATCCCAGTAGGTTTACCCTAGAGAAGATATATGTTTGAAGCAATCATTCAGCCAGCTGAAAGACCAGGCAAACACCTTTTTCTCTATCCAACTCATAAGAAGCAACTCAATGCAGCTCTCCTTCTTCAAAGCCCAGGGGTAGAATAAAAGAAGGGCAGGTCAGCCCTTTCACATGTACACTCCATTCCATCTCAGCAACTCTTGAGTCATCAATTCTTCAGTCTCCACTGAAATTTAGAAGACTTTTGTCATCACACAGTACCAAACCCTGAGTCATCATGGCCAGAAGCAGCATTACCCCAAACTTAGATGTAGTCATTTGTGCAGAAACTGAGAAAAGAATACTGTCAGTGCTTCAAGCATTGTCTAATCCACTCTGATCACATTCAATAAGGGGTTTCAACTAGATGATCTCTAAGGCCTCTTTTGCCTAAAACATTCTGTGATCTATAAATTTGTAAGGTAGAGGAAGAGGAAAGGAATTCTTATGACTTTTTCCTACCAGATATTCAGATTACTCAGACCTTTAGAAATGTAATGAAAAGTGTAGAAAAAGGTTTTATGAGAGGCTCAGAATGGTTAGAGGTTAGACAATTGACATTACTTAGGCTACATCTACACAAAACATTTTTCTTAAAAATGCTGCCTGGAATAGATCTGTGTTAGAATGGTGTGCTGTCCATTGTATTTGATATGATCATTTACAACAAATGAGTATGCCAATTATTCTCATGTTCCCTGAATGGCAGAGATAATAAAGGGATATCTTTCTATGTTCTTTGTCTCACTTGCTATTTTTGCTTGAATAAATATAACTAGCATTTGCTTGGCTTTCCTAGTGGTCATATTTGTTGTTGTTTTACATGATTATGGTAGCAGCTGATCAGAAGTAGTGGGTCAAGTTGTGTCTAGAGACATTCCTAAAATCCCCACCAACTTCGAATATAGTTAAAGGCATACCCCATGGTGGAAATTTTATCCTAGGCAATGTGAATTACTGAAGCTAAGGGAGTCATGTATGTATGGCTAAACTATAACTGAATTTGTTCCTTAGGGCTTGAAAATTACATAATTATTTTCCCCCTTTTCCTTCCTTGGTAAAATGTCAAATGCAAGAAAAAAAAGTACAATAGTCAGTAATTCTTAAAATTGGACTCCAAATGAAACCCTGCTGTACTTTATGTGTCTATTAAATTATATTAGTAGTAGGAAGCATAGAAACATAATTGGGAGAGAACTGTAGCTAATTGACAGTTCCCAGGCAGAATTGCTAATAGTTTATGTGTCCAGAATTCCTTTACATCAGTATTAACCACTGTCAGACCCTGGACTCCAGGAGGTTTCAACAACGATGACAACAAACAATAACATATCAATAGCAATAAATGACTATATGAGAAAGGAATGGTTTTTCCTTTCTACACAATAAAGACATTAAAATATATATTATTGTTATTGTTATTATTACTTGAATCTTCAAAACCTTTAATCTTGGAAAGGTAGTTGAATTGTGATTGGTTATGGATGGAAGAGATGGTAGTCTTGTAAAGATAAACCTAGCTCTTTTTCACTCCTCTCACGAAGGGTCAGTGTAGCTTAGTAGATAGAAAGCCAGTCCTGGGGTCAGGAAGCCCTTCGTTCCAGCCCTCTGATAGTATACTGGTCATTTGATCCTGGATAGTTACCAGTGGCTCAGGCAACTCCATAAGACAAAATGTCACAGAGCAGGAAGGAGCCAATGCGCATTGACATAGGAAATTCTTCACTGAGATCTCCCTAAATAGAAGAAATAATAGGTCTGGTTAAACAAAATAATAATAATAATTAAAAATTTAAAAGCCTGCAACCACTACCTCTATTACCAAAGTAAAAATAAAAACTCTCTCTCTTCCTAGTAAGTGGAAAATTGCCAGCACCTCTGGATTGATTTCAGCTGACCTCTGACCAATGAGCATACCAATAAAAATGGCTTCAGTATTTCAAACCTATTCCAATTTTGGCTTTTCTTCAATAAAGTTAATTAGAGCTGGGAGGAAACATCCCAATGCTCCTGTTCTAGTGATAAGGAAACTGATGCAAAGAGAGGTAAAAAGATTCACTTAAAGTCACACAGTGAGTAGATGGTAGGTAGTGCCAGAACTAAAACCCATGTGTCCTGACTCCATATCTAGCATACTTTCCAATACATCCTACTTCATATGATCACACATTTTGAGCTTAAAGGGATAACATGTCATTTAATTCAACTCTTCATTTTTCAGATGAGAAACTAGGACAGACCAGTGAGGCAAAATAATAATAGCCTGCAACACAACAATAATAGCCAAATTTATGTAGCACTTTAATGTTTGCAAAGCACTTTTTGTATATTATTACATTTGATTCTAACAACCTTCTGAGGTAGGTGCTACTATTATCCCTATTTTATAGAGGAAGAAACTGAGACTGAGTTTAGGTGATTTCCTCAATATTAGATGGTTAGTTAGTCTCTGAGGCTGGATTCATGCAGATATTCAAATACATGTCCCAGGTTGTCAAGCAAAAGGTGCTCACATTGACACAGTAGCCCAGCCAGGATCTCTTCCCTTGTGGCTTGATTTGTAGTCCATGTTCTTTCCAATATGTGATTCTTTCACTTATGAGTGTGCCACTTCATGAAGACGAGGATTATGTCTTTGCACTTGTAATAGCACCATGTAATATTTGTATTAGTGACTATAGTGTAATAATATAATGTAATATTTGGTAAAGGTTAAGATCTTAACTTACTTCAAAGAAAGATCTTAGCCAATCTCAAAAGGACAAAGAAATATTTGAAATGAGATTGAAAAAAAAAAAAAACTTGGGATATCTATTGAAAAGAAGCAGATAAATGTATAAAGAATCTACTCTGGAAAAAAAATACACCCACAGACACATACAGACAAATTCTTACAATGGGTAAAGAACAATGTTTTCTTTATGCAAGTGTGCACAGCAATGGCAAAACCAGCCTACATGAATACAGATTTTAAACTTGCAAGTCATATGAGAAATGTCATTGGTCTGTTTTATTTTTTTGCCTGAAAGGACCAGTCACAGGGTCACCAAATGGAAGTGATTTAGAGGATTATTCAAATAAGTTCTCACTGCCACTGGTTTCTTACTTCATCACAAATCTGCCATAAATTGGAAGTGCACCTAATGACCATATGGATACTGTACTCATATTGTCAGTTGATATGTGTGGAACAGGAATCAGATTTGTTCTGCTTAACTCTAAATGAAAGAACTGTGGCTAATGGGGAGGTATTACCTAAAGTTCAGTTTAATCAAAAGAAAATTTTACTGGCGCTTAGAGGTATCCCAAACATCAATTCTCTATCTGGCAAGGTACTGAGCTCCCCATTACTACAAGTCTTCAAACAGTTATTCAATTATCATGTTATATGTTGAGTATCCTTCAATTAAGGGTTGGTTGCCCTACTTTAGAACTTGAAGGTGGCTTCTGAGGTTCTATTCAATGCTAATGATTCTAGGCAACTATGATGATTCTTTGACATATTACACAACAATAACATTATGAGGTAGAATTGAGTAGTAAAAAGTTTAGTGAATGTGGGGACAGATGACCTGAGTTCTATGATTTTACATTTCTTAATTGTAGTTCCAGCTTTGTCTCTTAAGGTCTTGGACAAATCATTTTGGGTCTACATTTCCTCAAGTGCAGTAGCTAGCGTTTATAGGGAACTTTAATGCTTGCAAAGCACTTTACAAATATTACCTTATTTGAACATCTCAACAACATTGGGAAACATGTTCAATTATCCCCATTTTACAAGTGAGGAAACTGAAGCAGACAGAGGTTAAGTGACTTGCCCAGAGTCACAAAGCTAGCTAATATCTAAGGAACAATTTGAACTCAGATCTTCTTAACTCCAAGTCCAGCATTCTCTTGACTCCAGGTCCAGCATTCTATCTACTAGGCCACCTAGCTACCTAGGTCATGTAAAATGAAAAGTTTGGGAAAGATGTTCAATAGGAGGACCTTCCAGCTCTAAAATTCTACTAAACTTGCATAATACTTGCTCCTGTCATTTTCACAAGATTGTAACACCTCTTGTGCTCTTATTGCAAATGATTTTTACTTGTCAAATTCAACCTGTATGCTGTGTGGGGTATAATTTCATACTTGGGAAATCAGTATTTTTGCTCATCACAAATTCTCAAATTTGCATATACTGGTGTCAAGGAGGGTTTACTACATAATTTTGCAAATAGCGTTAAATATTTCTATTATTAAAGTTCAAAGTGTACTCATTCTGTCCCCTGGCCAAACTCTCTTGCCCCAACTAGTTGATTGTCTTCCTGTCCACCCCATTCCAAATCTCATTTCCTAGTGTCACCACTTTGATTTAGATGCTGATAAGATTCTCTGGGGAAAGCGTCGGTGGTCCCCAATTTACTGACAATCTTTATATCTCAAGTATTTATTTGTAAGTTGCTGTAAATACCAAATACATCTTCTCATGGAAACACTATTACTTATTGTGATTAGGTTTCCAGACTAACCCACAAAGAACTATTCAATCATGCTTATTTCATCATCATGCATGCTAAAATTGTAATGATACAGAGAAGATTAGCATGGCCCCTAGACAAAGCTGACATGCAAATTTATGAAGTGTTCCATAATTTTTGAATGTAATGGAATACTACTGTACCATAACAAACAGCAGAAGGAATAGTTTGAGAGAAACCTAGGAAAACTTATATGAACTAGTGCAGAGGGAAGTAAGCAGACGAATAGCAACATTGTAGAGACAACTTTGAAAGACTTAAGAACTTTAATCAATGCAATGAAGAAACAAGATTCTATAAGACCAGCAATAATTACCTCCTTACAGAGACTAAAAGTATCAAGATTCAGATTTAGAAATCTAAGATTTTATGATTCTAAGTCAGCTGTTCTATATTCTGGGTGATTTCAATGGGATAGGAAAGTTGCCTTTAATTTACATTTAAGTGTGACTGACCAAAAAACTCAACCCTGCCAGGGGCTATTTCCATTTTCAGACAAAAGCTCTTTAACTTAAGTTTTGAACTGGTATGGGTCAATTATAAGGTAAATATATACTTGAGCAGCAATGTTATTGCACAAACAAAGTTTCCTTGTTTATTTTCTATCCTTATAGTGTAGTGCAAAGGGTGCTAGAATTGAAGCCAGGAGATCTGATTTCCAGTACTGACTTTGCCAGTTACAATGTGATCTACTAATAAGTCACAAACCCTCTGAGCTTCAATGCCTTCATTTGTTAAATGGGTATGACAATACTTGTACCTGACAGGGTGGTTATAAGGATCAGATAATGTAAAACAAATCATTATATACATATAAATTTTTCATCTTATTTTTGGGGTCACTTCTCCTGTCCCTTCACATTTTTCTATAATGTCACCTTCATTTGTTCAATAGGGAATTTTTACGCACACATTCAAAGTTAAGTTTTATTTTACCTTATCTAATTCCAACCAAGAATACTGAAGTCTAGTGATATAGGATCCAGAGGTTTAAAAAGGAACTTAAAATTTTAGTTTACTCTAGGATTTTTTTTTCCTCCAAAAGAAACATCAGTTGGTTCCAAAAGATCTTTTTTTCTTAGCTACAGATACAAGTTCTAAAAAATCATCTCTGCCTAGGACTGCATTACCTGCCTACATAACCTGATACTTGTGGAGACCACACTATGAAATGATCAGAGTCTGGAGCTGACAGTTATAGACAGCAGGATGGTCTTGTTACTTTTAAACTTTGAGCATTATTTTAGCTCCCCCCCAAGCTAGAATACATATTTAAATGTATAAAAAATGAGATCCTGTAACTCAAAGGATTTGAGAACTTAAACTTTGTATTTGATTGCATTTAAATGTAATTATAGGGACTTGTAACATGATATTTTCTTTCTACTGGATGGGAATTGCAGATATGCAATATGGGTTTACTTACCTGATTGCACATTTACTCTAGTACTTTCTGAGTATTAAGAGCCTGCAGCATGCACAAAAATAATAAGACTCTGTTGTTTTACTTGGATTGCAGTCAGGTATATCATTGCCTCAACATTGCAGTTTCCAAGAAAGATGCAGTTGTAATGTTGGAATGGTGCACTGTGTGTGGTTTGCTTTTATTTCACCCTGAATTTATTTTTATACCTTGATACTTCATTTTGATTTAACAAGCATTTATTAAGCACTGACTATATGTGAAGTACTGTGCTAAGCACTGGGGTAGAAATGCTAGATGAAAAACAGCACAAACTCTCAAGGACTAGTGCCCTTCATTCCATTGAGGGAATACGGCATTTAAATGGAAAATTAAATACAATGTAATTTGAGGAGTAAAAGAGCATTAGCTACTAAGTATCTAAGAAAAGCTTTTTGAAGGCATTGGCACCTGAATTGAACTTGAAAGAATATAAGGATTCTTAGAAAAGGAGTTAAGAAGAAAATGGACTCCATTCATAGGCGACAACACGTATAAAGATGTAGAAGTGAGAGATAGAATATGGTGTTCAGAGAAGCAATAGCAAAGGAGAAGGGAATAAGCATTTTTGTAGCACCTACTATGTTCCAGGCACTATGCTGCTCCCCCCACCACCTTTTTTAAAACAAATATTATTTCATTTAATTCTCACAACAACCCTTTGAGGTAAGTTCTATTATTTTATAGTTGAGGAAATAGAGGCAAACAGAGATGAAGAAACAGTTAGGCTAGACATAGACCGGTTAAAAAGGAGTAGCCTCAAATATATCTAGAAATATAGACTGGAGTCAGGTGGTAATAGGCTTTACATGTCAAGATGAAGGATTTGGAGATTACCATAGATGTAATTGGGAGCCACTAAAGATTTTTGAATAGGGGATGAGTGACATGGTCACAGAATTTTTCTCACGTTGGATCCTAAGGATAACAAGATTACATAAATTAAAAGACAAATCTTTTCAACATGTTTTTATCAGCAGTAGCTCAAGCCTCAAACCTATTCTGGGAGACGGTTATGTAGGGGGATATTAGCCCTGTCTCTTCTCCTAACACTAATTCCAGAACCACAGCATAGACATCTAGCAGAAGGGTATGAAGGACATAGGAATCACTGTACTATGAGGACAAAATGATCAACTCTTTAGAATTCAACAAAAATTAATTCAATACCTATTTTTCAAGTGCTTCTATCTCAATGCGATGTGGATATAAAAATGGAAATCAACAGTAACTGCCCACAGTGAATTTCAGTTCTACTAGAAATGATGCAGCAGTTACAAAGATAAGTATGATACAAAGAAGAAATGTGATGGGGACATAAATATTTTGTGCTTGTAATACACACCAAGATGCCATGGTGAAAGTAGCTAACAGCACATTTAGGCAGAGACCTTACAATCTGATCTGACAGTGTTTGGAAAACCTTAAAGAGTAATGCATAGAACGGCTAGGTGGTGCAGTGGATAGAGCAACAGCCCTGGAGTCAGGAGGACCTGAGTTCAAATCCAGCCTCAGATACATGATACTTACTTAGCTGTGGGACCCCAGGCAAGTCACTTATCACTTAACCCCTATTGCCTCACAAAAGGAAAAAAAAAGAGTTATGCAAATGTGAGTTGTTGTTATTATTGTTATACATGCGTGAACAATCCATTTTTTTCTGTTATTTATTCAGCAATATCCATTATTGATTTGTGTCGTCCCCTCCAGCAATGTAGACCCATTTAAACCTTCTTGTCTATGGCTTCTCATGAATCCTTCACAGAAGATCTACTCTTCATTGAACTATTTTTTAACATTTCGCAGATTTCACTGGGATTGTCTATCCACTACTCCTAGCTCTTGATACGTGACTTATACAGTGCTTAGTTTGATAAAAAAAAAAAATGTTTTTCCTAGATGATAACTCTCCTATCACTTTCTCTGTGCAAGTGATTGTAGGTAATATGCTATAGACTACTTGTAACTCCATACGATATTTCATTATCCCTCAGGTTCCTTGAAATTTTGATTCTTCAGAGAAGAGATTATGGTATTCCATAATTATCATGAACAGCTTTTCATTTTTATTTCAATTAACATTGTCAAAGGCTACAGTGAGGTCAAGAAAAATGAGGAATGAGAAGTAGCCATTAGATTTGACGATTAAGTGATCATTGTTAACTTTGGAAAGAACAGTCTCTACTGAATAATGTCAGAAGCCAGACTGTAAAGTGTTAAGAAAGTGAAAGGAAAGGGAATGGATCCATCAATTATAGATGGCCTTCTGAAAGAATTTAGCCACAAAATGGAAGAGAGATATCAGATGGTAGGTAGTGAGGATAGATGGATCAAGTGAGGGTTTTGGGGTTTTCTTTTTTTTGAGGATGGTTAAGAAATGAGCATATTTATGCATAGTAGGCAGCCAATAGATGGCAATATAGAAGATAAGTAAGAGCTTTGGGATGATATGCTAGAGAAGACAAATTGGTATGGGATCACTTGTGTATATATACAGAGAAGGTTATTTTGTCAAGGAGAAGAGTCATTTGTTATTTTGACATGAGAGAAGAAGGAGATTGTGACTGAAGGCATCTGAATGATGTGAAATGAGGAGAGGAAGAGGAGAAGAGGGAACTCTCAATAAATGGACTCATTTTTTTTTCAGCAAAATAGGAGGCAAGACAACAATTGAGGAATGACTGAATAAGTTGTGGTATATGATTGTAAAGGAATACTATTATGGTATAAGAAATGACAGAATGGTTTTAGAAAAATCTGCTAAGACTTATGAACTGGTGAAAAATGAAGTGAAGAGAACCTGGAGAACATTGTACACAGTAACAGTACTATTGTAATAATGATCGTTTATGAAAGACTTAGCTACTGTGAACCAGATAATAATCTAAAACAACTCCAAAGGACTCATGCTATCCATCTCCAGAGAGATAAGTGATGAATTCTGAGTTCAGTTTGAAGCATATTTTTTCACTTTATGTTTCTTGTTATTTATTGTTTTTTTTAAACATGGCTAATATTGAAATATGTTTTGCATGACTTCACATATCTAATTGATATGTTGCTTGCCTTCTCAGTAGAAGGGGCAGGAGAGAGAGAATTTGGTCTAAAAATTCTTTCAATGAATGTTAAAAAATAATCAATTAAAAATAATAATCTTTGAAAGGCTGTGGAGAATGGAAGAAATGTCATAGAACTGGAGGGTGGTAGATGATCTACTAATTTTTGTTTAAATACCTCTGTAAAATGGAAAGAAAGGAAGGAAGGAAAGATGGAAGGAAGGAAGGAAGGAAAAAAGAAAGATGGAAAGAAAGAAAAAAAAGAAAGAGATTGGCCAAAGTTCCGCACTGAGAGAAGAGCTGGAAGGGGGAGCTATGGGAGGCTTGAGGATGGATGAAAAGTTTTGGAAAAGCTGCTGTGGGAAGTGGGAAAGTTAGTTAGGAAAATATAAAAGAATTACTTTGCTGCAGTGAGGGCATAATTGAGAATATGTAATATATATTTATAGTGGATCTGGGCAGAATGGTTTTGTGATTTAAAAAAATACAGCTTTATTCGTTAGCATATTCTGGAGTGAACAGGAGTGAAGGCAGCAAATGGTGGAAAAAACTTATGCCAAGGCATAAGTGATAGGACAAGGGGGGAAAGGACTCAATAGA